ATATTGTTACAATAGCAGTTGAAAAATAAAATAAATTCACAGGTAGTCACAATTTTTTTTTATAAGCATTCAAAGTTTGAATTTTGACAAAATACGTAAGAATCACGAAAATTCACAAATTATTTTAAGCTAGAAATTCATAAAAGATTTTCCTTTTATATCTAAGATTTAAAATCAAAATGTTTAAAACGAATGTTACAGTAACCTACTCGATGAGTATTACAAAAAAAAGTGATTAGGTACCTAGTATATACATCAAAAGCGAGTTCTTCGATTTTTAATAAAATATCGTAAAGCTATAAGACATAATACACGCATTTAAATTATACGTTTGGAGAATAAAAGCAATTTATCTATACGATAATAGGCAAATAAACCATATACGTTCAGGATTGTTTTTGGTATGCAATGATTATTGAATTCAATTTGTAACATTTGTAACACATCAATTACAGTGACCCACTCAATGATGAGGTACGCTCAACTTCTACAGTACAGCAAAGCGGTTACCCACTTCTATCTTTTTTTGTTTGTTAAATTGTGACTCAAATAATATAATATTTCATCATTCTCAGTGCYCAACGAATGATTGCGGTAGGTAAAGAGTGGACCAATGGAGGGAGGTACTAACAATAGAAGATGTTTAAAGTTTTCAATTTCCATATACTATATAGTTCCTGCCGCATATTAAAAGAGGTTTTCATTACTTTGAACCATAAAATATGTCGGGTAGTGCGTTTTACGAGCTCGTTCTTTTACGTAAAAAAAAAATGTTACCACCTACCATAAAAAAGAAACAGAAAAAAAAATCTATACTGCCCTTTTTTTTCTACGTACTTCGTGTCCGATAAAAACCCACTGGAGAATACGCAACTATCCTTTTATTTCTTTTCCCCTAACACCAAATCCTGATCAAATTTGTCTATTTCTTTAGTGTCCGTCATCAGCCGCAGCCATGGTCCATTATTTATTGATCGGTTGAAAAGCTCCATTGGCTTGAATTTCCATTATCACTACACAAGCAATTGCCTGTCAAATTCTTCAAAAGAAGTATCGCYGAAGATAAAACGCGTATAGTTTTTCCTGTTATGCTCTGAATCTAATAAGTAAATGTTGTAAACACATAACCACGTGGATGTCTAATCGTGCATTGCTCTAACTGAATCAAATGTGAACGAAAAAAAAAACGATCGACATGTGTTGCAACCATACCAAAATTAAGTATTTCATAATTTTAATAATAATGTTTAATTATTATGTACTTTTATTTTTTTAAGAATATATAATCCATACTATGTTTTGAAAAATATCCAATAATATTTTCCATACCGTGAAATTTTATGGATTCATTTTTTATGTGTTGGAAATTCATAGTTTATAATATTTCATTCAAAGTCATTAATTTACTATATGTCCTCGACTATCGTAATATAATTATATTAGATTTCATATGAAATAACTTAAATATAGATACCAATAAGGCCCAGCATTATGTACATAAATAAATATTAGTTACGAATTTTATCCTGACAACTCCATTTTTAATAACCAATTATATTCATCTGAGATATTCTATTTTAATAACATTATAAAATAATATTTATTTATATTATGCATTTACAGTGCAAAAATATCATGTTAGACTATTTTAAATATAAATGCATAGTTTACATGTTCTGATAAACATTATTGATATCATGGTTTATAAGCAAATATTTTTAAGTAAATATTTGAAATAACGAATTTTTTATTTTTGTTTTGTYTTTACTTTTTAGAAAATATATAAATTTAAGTRTCACGTGTAAATGATTTATAGGTGGTTTTTGTTTGTATGAAAAACCAGGAGTTTTTTTTTACTTAAACTTCGAAAAAATAAAAAAAATATTAAGTAATACTTTTTTTATAGACCATATTCTATTGTTTATTTAATCTTTTTTTCCTGTGTAATGAATTTAATTTTGAGTTGAAAGATGTCAATAGATATTAAAGTTTGAGTATTATGAAAGGGGAAATTTTAATTAATGAAAATAATAATGTTATTAATTACCTTAATAAAGTTGTTTAATTTACTAAAACAAAAAATAACGATACCGAGTTTGTCAACCGATATTCAAACTGACTCCAYTATAATAAAGAAGCTGAATTTCAAATAAATAACATTATATTGCGTACGTACCACATCAATAAGCTGCGACAGTTTCAGCTTTATAGATACACGAAGAACATCACTGGTGTTCACCACGGGTCTGACGAGCTTGTTGTAACTAGACAAGAGATCGTCGTACAGCCTCTTTGCATCCGGATTTGCAGACACCATTAACCGGATGATCACAAGTCCAAGAAATGCAAATTTCGGCCACATGTCTGTAAACGATAGAACACAATCACGTATTTGATTTATTCCAACCAAATAGTTTAGAAGTTTTCTAGTATTTACGATRTTTGAACACACAAAGTTATTGGACACAATGTGGTTTATTAAGCATAATAATATTGAATTCAGGCATTGAAGAATTATACTTTTTTTAAATCACAAACAATTTAAATACATTTACCTATGTAAATTACAAACTTCAGTCCAAATAATTTATACTAATACCGATAAAATACTACATAATATTAGTTAAAATTGTTTAGTTTAAATAAATATATATATTTTTATATACAAAGCAACGTTAAAATATCGACGTTTTATTTTAAATAATTTAATTAAAATGGAAAATTTGTGGTAAACACAGTAAAAATGTGTATTCAATAAATTTTTATCATAGATTTAAATTTAAAAATGACACTGTTTATAATACGTATAAACATGTTCTTTATATGCATTATACGTATAAATAGTCATGTATACATTTTATAAATTGTGATTGTTAAACATCAAATTAAATTATAGTTATTGTTGAAAAAATTTAAATTTATAGAAACTCACACAGGTTTTTGTTTTGATGTAACATTTTCAGCAACATAAAATTACAATATAATTTTAAAAATACAATGTAAACACTTATCTCAACAACGTTTCATGGTATTT